AACAAAACGGATGAGCAGCAACAGATCTCTTCTCAGTTCGATTCCTAAAACTGAAAGAGCAAAAGACTTGGATCTTACTCATGATGTGCTACCGAATGGACGGGTCTTAGGAGTTAAATGGTGTGCTGAAAAGGATGTGTTCAAGATTAGGATAACCGTAAGACACATGCCACAAACAAGACGTGGTCTCCTCTCATTTGTCGGTGCCAAATATGACCCGCTGGGTTTCTTGTCTTCTGTCATCCTTTCAGCAAAACTCATTCTCCAAGAGCTGTGTGGCAAAGAGTTCCTGGGATCAGGACATCCCACCTGAAATGGCACGAAGAACACAAAAATTGCTTTTTGATCTTACAAAACTTCATGATTTCACAGTGAGTCGATGCCTGAAGCCAGTGGGTTTTGGAAAAATCCTCTCTGCAAAATTACATCATTTTGCAGATGCAAGTGAAAAGGGCTATGGAGTTGTGACTTATCTTCGGATGACAAACGGCAGTGATGTAACACACTGCTCTTTCATTATTGTCAAGTCCAGAGTTTCACCACTGAAACAAACAACAAGCCCAAGACTGGAATTAACAGCGGCTGCTGTTGCAGTAAAAATGGACAAACTAATGAGAAAAGAGTTGCAGGTGCCTCTGGAAGAGTCTGTGTTTTGGTCAGACAGCACGACTGTTCTGAAGTATAGTTCCAGTGAGAACATCAGATTCAAAACATTTGTAGCAAACAGAGTGTCACTCATCAGAGACAACACAAGACCAAGTCAGTGGATGTATGTGGACTCTGAGTTCAACCCAGCTGATAATGCGTCAAGGGGGAGGACTGCAGATGCATTCTTAAAGTGTCACAGCTGGATCGCTGGGCCAGAATTTCTTGCAAAAAAATGAAGAACACTGGCCGGTCTTCCCAGATGTGAAAGATACATTAAGAGAAGACGTTGAAGTCAAAAATACAATCAGCGTGAACGCCACAGAAGTGCACAAGGATCCACTTTCTGAGTTTATCAGTTACTACTCAGAGTGGCACAGATTAAAAAGGGAAGTGTCTTGGATGTTAAAGTTTAAACAGTTGCTTCTGTAGCGTCATGAATGTCCTGTTTTTGACCTAAAGGTCATGATCTGCTGCGTCTGCTCGAGCAGAGACATAAAGTCTCTGACAGCCTAATCTACATGAGATAGTGGCCAAGGTCTTTCATGCACTCTGCTCATCTGAACTGCTTCACCTCTGTTTCAGCTCAATACAAAGACGAAGAACTCTCTTGATAAACACTTAATCAAACAACTTTGTTATTACCAATAATAATGTGAGCCCAATGTTCAATCAATCTGTGAAATGACAATGTTATTACTTGATATTATAATCCTGTGATCAGTAGTATTTTACAAGTTATTATAATCTTGGACATTTGCACTAGACACTGATGACACGTAATGCTAAAGTCACATGACACATTTCCTTTTGTCTGATCCAATCAGAACCTTCGTTTCTGACGCGAGGCGTGGTTTTCTGTGTGTTTGTATAAACCCTCTTCTGCATGTCACATTCTGATTCGTCAGTAAACCAAAACATGACAATTATAAAAACTACGCTTTAGTTCTAAGCATTCTAGAGAAGTCTCGGACAGGCCATCCGGTGTCGGTACAGGATCTGCTCGGGTACAGGATCGGCTCGGGGTCCTTCGACTGCCGATGACGTCATTTGCGGTCGTAGTCTTAGCGGTTGTAGTCCTGTAGTCCAAAAATCAACACTTTTTGGAGAAAATATGTTTGAATTTCTAAAGGAAATGTAAAATATAAGCAAATGATAAACGGTGACCCTCTAAAGCTCTTGATGTTGATGAAATGGGTCAAAATAAAATATAAGAACTTTATTGAAAGACACCAAGCTATATTTAGAGTCAAAGAATGTATTTAGATAACAACTAAGGAAATAAACAGACGAACTCCACATTAATACAAACAGACGTGGCTTCACATATAAGAACTGTTTTATTGTTTGTCAGTCCGATGTTGGTTTTATGCAGTTTCACATTCTTTACAAAACAAAGATAATGTGGTGTTTTATTAACAAATTACAATTATAAAGAAAACATTTAGGTGTTAACAAACAAGAATTTATTAACAAAACTGCTGATGTCTTTCCAAAACGTGTGTGTGAAAGCCGAGTGGATTTGCAGTCATGTGACGTCATCGGCAGTCGAAGGACCCTGAGCCGGTCCTGCACCCGAGCCGGCACCTACACCGGATTTCCTCTTCAGCCAAAAGAACCTCGACAAGCTGGATAAAATCTGTTGCAAGTTACACCTGACCACAACGGTTCCTTCAGAATAAAAGCTGAACCTCACGACCCCTTCAGAGTCTCGGAGACGCCAGTGATAACCTGTCGTGACCTGGAAGCATTCCAAGACTAGTTCAGTCGGCACCGCTGCTTTTCTACTGGCTTCGGTTCCAAGGAGGGTCTAAGAGGACCTCGACATTCTGGATCTAACAGAGGCTTCCCCTGGGGTACGCAGACCGACAGATGGTGTTTCATGTGTGTTATAAATCTCCTACTAAAGCTTAGAGCAAAACATTCACTCCCACTCAGAACTAAATGCTTCTCCGGATCCGCTGGTTCTGAATAACATTCCACACACACACCATCATCATTCATCACGTCTCACTCCACCTTACTCCCATCAGTACACAGAGTGCTAAAGTTAGTCTTGTTTAAATTGTGTAGAAATACATTTGTTAACTATTATAAACCTGACTCTCTCTCGTTCCTTGGAGTTAATACAAAGTGTAGCTTAATCCCTGCAATAAAAAGTTCTGATCTTCTGGTTAAAAAAGTCATCAGTCCATCAGATTGATATTTCATATTTCTATGGAATCTCACATTTTATGGTTCATAAGCAAGATGTAAACAACCCATCCTGGACACTTCATGACCTGAGCCAGCACAAAAAAACTTCTGATGGCACAAATTAAAGACTCGTCAAGTCAAACAAAAATAACTGAAGTGGTTCAAAACCAAATGCAACGGTTTAGCTCAACCTGGACGGCATCTTTGTTAGCTGATGCAGATGTTGCAGAAGTAGAAATTGAAATCATTAAACTTTGTCAAGGGCAATGTTTCAGAGATGAGCTCAAATCTTAAAATGGATGAAAGACTGAAAAAGGGCAGTCATTTCATTAAACGTGATCCTGTTCTACAAGATGGGATTTTAAGAGTTGAAGGAAGGTTGCAGCAGTCTGCATTACCTTCAGATGTTAAGCACCCTGTGATCCTTCCAAAAAATCACCATGTTTCAAGGGTTAGGGTTAGGGTCTAGTGTCTAAGTGTGTGATGTGTAAAAGACTGTCAGCTAAACCTGGAGAGCAACCAATGGCTAATTTGCCGCTGGATCGTTTGACACCTGACAAGCCTCCATTTACCAATGTGGGTATGGATTACTTTGGTCCGTTTGATGTAAAGTACGGACGAAGTACGGTCAAGCGATATGGTGTGTTGTTCACATCTTACAGTTAGAGCATTACACATAGAAGTCGCCCATTCAATTGAGACTGGTTCATGCATAAATGCATTTAGAAGATTTAGAAGGTCAAGTGTCTGTTATGAGATCAAATAATGGGACAAATCTGGTGGGAGCAGAAAGAGAGATGCGTGAAGCAATTAAAGGCTGGGATCAATCTAAAATCTCAGATGTGCTCCTTCAGAAAAACATAACCTGGATGTTCAACCCACCTGCAGGTTCACATTTTGGGGGCATGTGGGAGAGACGGATTTGTTCTGTGAGGAGAATTCTTCACCAGGTACTGACACAACAGCTTCTTGATGATGAGCGCCTTCAGACATTGTTTTGTGAAGTGGAAGCTGTTCTTAATGGCAGACCAATAACAAGAGTGTCAGATGATCAAAATGATGTGGAGGCACTCACACCAAACCATTTGCTTCTCCTTAAACGTCAGCCAGCATTACCTCCTGGGTTGTTTCAAAAGGAGGACTTGTACGCAAGGTGAATTTTTTTGGAAGCGTTGGACAAAAGAGTACTTGCCTCTTCTACAGGAGAGACAGAAGTGGACAGTAACGAGACAAAATCTCAAATCAGGAGATGTTGTTCTCATTGTTGATGAAACATCACCAAGAAAGTCTTGGCTGATGGGAAGAGTTGAACGAACAGTTCCGGATACACATGGACTTGTGCGTCGTGTGTTTGTTAAAACCAAAACTAGTGTCCTGGAGAGACCTGTGGACAAGTTATGTTTGTTGCTAGAAATGGATGTTTACTCAATGAATGTTGAAATATTTTGTTTTGTTTCATTGAAGGTGATTTTAATGATGTGTGTTTAGTTTACAAGGGATATTCAATGAACAGGCTGACTGAATAAGCAATGTTTCTGTTGCATGTGTGTTTGACTTGCGTAAATATGACATCTTTTTTTGTTTGTTTGTTTGTTTTTGATCTGGTAATTGTTATGTCACAGCAGTAACAATTAGGGTCCGGAATGTAAGCTTCATTTATAGTGAATTTGACTTTGAGTTATTCTGTTAATCCTTTCTTTGGGCTTCCGTAGTTTCAGACAGGAAGTGATTTTTTGTTAAACTTGTAAAAAATATAAAGGAGCTACGGCAGAGCGACACAGATGTTTTACCGTTGCCGTTGCAAACTGTCTCCTCTCCTTTATTTAATGTCCAGAAGTAGTGTCAGATATTGATATGAAGACCAGAAAGGTAAAAGAAAAAATCGATCCTACAGAGACTATAAGCTCCAGCCGTCAGACTGACGGTGGGAGACAAAGACAAAAATAACTATATTTCTTTTTTGATAGACTATTTTATGGAAATTATAGCGTAAAAATAAAGAACGAACAAAAATATGAAAAGCCAGGACAACACAGAATCATTTAGGTCACTGTGATGTCCATGGAGAATAATGGGCTGGTGGTATAAAACAACATTCCGCCGCTTTTGGGGTTTTTGTCAAATGTAGGCAGGACCAAACATGGTCTTATTTTGAAAGGGCTTTTCCTGCGTACTGGGGAGGAAAGACAGACTTCCGGTTACAAGTAAAACGCGGAATAAGCTTGTCCTAGGAGGGAACAAAGAGTGAGTGGACCAGTAATGACTCAGCCGTAAATCTACACACTTTGTTCGTTAAAACCATAAAATAAGAGAGACTGGAGCTGTAAGGGGCCCGAGTTTCCTGTAAGTCTGCTAGTGGAGCTTGTTATTGCTCTATGCGCTCAGGGCTAGCTGGTGACTTTTTGTCTATTAGCTTAGCTTTCCTTATAGTCAAAGATTTTCTGTTATTGATTTAAGTATAAATCTTTAGCGGTTTTAATAAATAAATGTGTATGTACGTTACTTGATTTAATCCGTTTTGAGCATTACTTTAGTTGTGTTTTGATTCTTGTTTATATTTGGCGCGGGCGGCGCCGGTTAGATAGCTTGCTAGCTTTAGCAGGCAGGCCCATTCAGCAGCAGCAGGAGGATCGTAGCCACTCGGTCATCTGAGACCATCTTTGATCATCTCACAGTGGCTCTGTTTCCGCTTACAAAAACATTCTATCCACTAAGAGTTCACGATCAGATCATCATTTCTTTTCACAGCCGGACCAGCCTGAAGTAGCTCATCCTCCGCCGCTCCGGACTGTCCTGCAATAATGTCAAGTAAGTAGATGTGCGCGTGAGCTGCAGAGAAGGTCAGAATATTAACCTTCTGTTTCTGTTCTATACAGAGGGCCGATTTTAATGCAGCTTTTTCTGTCAAAAACCTTTGGGAGAGACCAGAGTGTCCCAAAGAGCACCTGTGACATTTATTATGCTTGTGAATCTTTACATAAAGATAGTTTTGTTGGGTAAATATTACAGATTAACACAGGAGACATTGCCAGGCTGTCAATCATGGATCTATATACATCCATTTTCATGTTGTGCTGTTTAAACCAGGATGGAGTCATTCATTCAGTTTAACTCTTCCTCACCCTGTAGGTGATTCTCCTAATACTATTACTATTATTATTATTCTGTTCCATCCCAGACCGTGCAATATTACCCAAGAGTTCTTATTGGAAATATGTTTGCATCCCTCCATCATATGCTGCTACTACCCTTAATTCTATTGCACAATACTCTGATCATTTTCGAAAATCGCCTGCACTGATAGCTTAATTACTTATTCACCAGAATACAGTCATGTATTTTATTTGTTGAGTTATCTGAGTATTTCTCTTGCACTATCCTATTGTATACTACTGTACACTATTTTTACTGTATATATCGTATATCTTATATCTGTTTCACCTGTTCCTTTGTCTCTCCTACTGCTTTGAGCGTGTACATGACACAACAATTTCCCTCGGGATAAATAAAGTTGTTCTTATCTTATCTTATCAAGGCCAATCTGAGCTTTAGTTTTCTGTTTGCAGACAGTTTTTAAAGGGAACATGATTGGCCCCACAGATCCTGAATAAGATGTATTTAGAATGACAGCAAGTCTATAAATGAGAGTTTCTGCATAAATGCCCGCTGTCAGCAGCATGGCAGCTGTCCATCTCAGGTAAAGACAGGTGTCTCTGATGTCTGCGTGGACAGGACATGTGTCTGATGTCTGCGTGGACAGGACATGTGTCTGATGTCTGTGTGGACAGGACAGGTGACTGATGTCTGTGAGGACAGGACAGGTGACTGATGTGTGCGTGGACAGGACAGGTGACTGATGTCTGCGTGGACAGGACAGGTGACTGATGTGTGCGTGGACAGGACAGGTGACTGATGTGTGCGTGGACAGGACAGGTGACTGATGTGTGCGTGGACAGGACAGGTGACTGATGTGTGCGTGGACAGGACAGGTGACTGATGTCTGCGTGGACAGGACATGTGTCTTGATGTCTGCGTGGACAGGACAGGTGACTGATGTCTGCGTGGACAGGACAGGTGACTGATGTCTGCGTGGACAGGACAGGTGACTGATGTCTGCGTGGACAGGACAGGTGACTGATGTCTGCGTGGACAGGACAGGTGACTGAGGTCTGACAGGACAGGACAGGTGACTGATGTCTGCGTGGACAGGACAGGTGACTGAGGTCTGACAGGACAGGACAGCTGTCTCTGATGTCTGCGTGGACAGGACATGTGTCTTGATGTCTGAGTGGACAGGTGACTGATGTCTGTGTGGACAGGACAGGCGTCTACAGCGTTCAGCACCATCTTCACTGATTTAAATTTCACTTTTGAAGCCGATGGAAAATATTTAGGTCTCGGTGCAGATGGACAGTATGATCATTCTGAAATGAGCAGGTGTTAAATCAGTAGTTTTTATTGTTGGTTCATGAATGAATCAAGACCAATCTAGCCACCTGTGCTGGGGTAGATTGAACACCAGGCTGACGTCCTCATCTCTTTGTTTTCTTGACAGAGCGCCCGTCCTACGCTCCTCCTCCTCCCCCAGCCCCAACGACAGTAAGTGTGACCGCGCTCTGGCCACAGCGGCTAAGAGTCGTGCTACTGGACGTGTCTTTCCCAGCATTTCTTTAATCTTTCTCTAAGCCACAGAGCTTGTTCAGGCCTCCATCCTCACTTCACTAACTTCCTGCCATGCCACTAAGTGCTTGACCTAAAGAAGGTTGCTGCCCTCTAGTGTCTCGTTTGCTCTGAGGGAAACAAATGTAGTCACCTGATTAAAGAACTTCCACATTTGTAACATAAAAAGTCCGTTCCTTTCGTCCAAACAGTGTCTGCTTGTTTTGATGCCTTTCAGCCACAGGGCGCAACATGCTGAACTGCTGCTAACCCATTATGAAGGAGTGCCTGATTAACCAGGATTAAATGTGGCTGCGTGTGCAGCGTTCACATGTTGTGCACTTGTTCTGAATGCAGTCTGCTGCTCGGCTGTTACCTTGCATGTTCAGGTCATCCAGAACAAAACAACTCAAAATCTATTTTCATGTTTTCCCTTCCCATTCACTTATTTGTTTATCCCTCTTCCTCTTGTTCGTGAGCCATTTCTCATTCGTGTTTTGTCTCATTTGTCTTCCATCAGCAAATGCCTTCCACCCCGGGGTTTGTGGGCTACAACCCTTACAGCCATCTGGCCTACAACAACCTCCGGCTGGGAGGGAGCTCCGGAGGCTCCAGCAGGGTAATGGATACTACGAAGGTCTCAAAAATAAGATTTGGGTTAAAAGGGAGGATATAGTGTCAGACTTGAATTATTGCAGACAGACAGGAGGTTGTGGGAATGGAAGGTGAGACAGTTTTTATTCTTGGTGTTGGCACTGTGCCATCCCACTTAACCTTCTGCCTGCAGGCTGTATCATAAACATCTGTTCTCATGATGATGGACAGCAATGAGTCGACTGGCTCACCTTGGCAGCACATGGTTAAAACAACCTGATCTCTTTCTCTCTCTCTCACACACACACACACACACACACACACACACACACACACACACACACACTCACACACACACACGTCACATTTGGATGGCCCAATAAAAATTAACATGTGGAATAAAAATCAAAAGAATGTTTAAAAGAAAAGCAAAAGGTTTGTGCTTTATTTTCTGTTCACCTCCCACTTCAGGCGTCCCACAGGGAATGACGAATGGGTCACTGGACATGACTTTTATTTTGAAAGTTTCTTTATGTTTTGCTGCTTTTGTGTTTGACTTCCTGTCTGGCCTGATCTAAATTGCAGAATTGGACATGTTTTGAAAGCGTAGCATGTAAGACTAGACTGAAAACGTAATGGTGGCTGCAAAGAGGCTCATTCGCCTTTGGGACACGTCCTTTTTTTTTTACACTTGGTGGCTGGTGGAAAGGAGCCCGTCCACTACAGGAGCCTCTCTGGTCGGCTCATGAGTCCCTAAACGGGACCAAAAGAGTTATTTTCTAATCCGCTTTGCCTTTCGCCCTGGATTCAAGTTTCAATTCAAGTTTATTTATATAGCGCCAAATCACGACATGAGTCGTCTCAAGGCACTTCACATAATAAAACATTCCAATTCAGGTCAGTTCATTAAGCCAATCAGAAATAATGTTTCCTATATAAGGAACCCAGCAAATTGCATCAAGTCACTGACTGGTGTCAGAGTCTTTACAGCAATCCTCATACTAAGCAAGCATGCAGCGACAGTGGAGAGGAAAACTCCCTTTTAACAGGAAGAAACCTCCAGAGAATCCTGGCTCAGTATAAGCAGCCATCCTCCACGACTCACTGGGGATCGAGAAGACAGAGCAGACACACACGCACACCCACACGGACAAGTAATGTGTCTATAGTTATATTGTGATGTCTTAGTAAATATTCTATTTGGTGAAAGATAAACTTTATTGTATTTATCCTAGTGGATCTATAATTAAACGGATAAACTAGTAGTAGCACATCCAACGTCAAGGAAACCAAAAAGTTATTATCAGGAGAGAGAGAGAATGTTTAAGTGATTAGCAGCAGTGTGCTAGTCGATGGCCCCCTCCATGAGGCCACCACAGCTCAGCAGAACGTCATTGTCGCTTCTTCTGGGGAGAAAAACACAGATAAAATAAAGTTAACAGCTGAAATTGCATAAAATAGTACAGTTAAAGAGCAGACTAGAAGAAAGCAGTAGAGTGTGAGAAGTGGTCATTGTATCCTCCAGCAGTCTAAGTCTATAGCAGCATAACTACAGAGATAACTCTGGATAATCTATCCTATTTAGATGGAGGCATGTTGGAGGCAGGGCAAGGGAGAGCCGTCTTTACCGACTGTACACTCCACCTCCCTCTACTCCCCCACTTGTCCAGATTTAGGCTAACATCAGATTTTAACCATAGGCCCTATCAAATAAAAATGTTTTAAGCCTAGTCTTAAAAGTAGACAAGGTGTCTGCCTCACGGACTAAAGCTGGGAGCTGGTTCCACAGGAGAGAAGCCTGATAACTAAAAGATCTGCCTCCCATCCTAATTTTAGATATTCTTGGAACCACCAGTAGACCTGCAGTCTGAGAGCGAAGTGCTCGGTGAGGGACATATGGAACAATCAGGTCACTGATGTATGATAGAGCTTGATTATTAAGAGCACACATAATTTGTACTTATATTAAATTAAAACTAATGATGAGCGTTCCGACCACGCCAGTCACCTACTTTGAGATTCATCAACTTGTAAAAGTTGATAAATCGTTGGCACATCACCACATAATCTCCTCCCCCCAGCGTAGCTGCTACTCGCCACACGGCCAGATTCATGGGGGTTCTTTCCTCCTGAAGGAAGGATTTGAAGTTCGCTGAACTTCTGGCCATTTTCCCTTGGATTAGCTCTGGTTTGATGACGTCACTTTGGTGGTGCGCTTTTGTAGTCCTGGACTTATTTTCATACAAAACCTAAAGACAAGTTTCCCCCTGTTCGAAAATAAGTGCTTTCTTTGTATCAAATGTAGTGTTTAAAATTCACAGAAATCACACGTGCACACGAACGCAATTAGAAAGTAGTGTTTTTAGCCCCGTTGACTTGTACTCATTTTTATCGTTCTTCCGAGGACCCGTGGTCGGGAAGTAGATGGGCGTGGCTTAAGACTCCCAATAATGGTGGCTGCAAAGTACGTTTGTGCCTGTTTCATTAAGAAGAAACCGTTACTGGACCAAAGAGCTGGAGGATGAGTTTCAAGGGTGAAATGGTTTGTCTAACCCTAACCGCAAGGCACTTCACAAGAACAAATAAGTAAAAAAAATCACTAAAAGGTATCATGTAAAATTAGAAAAGCTAAAATGAGCAAAAATTATGAGGAACAAAAAATATGTTAAAATGAACAAGAAAAGCCAGTCTGTGTGTACGTCGCGTGATTTCATCCGGTAATGGCAGAACGAAGAGAAGGTGGTGATGAAGGTCACGCGAAAGCCAGCCTGAAAAGTGTGCGTTCAGCTGGTGTTTAAAGGAGACCCCTGAGTCCACTGATCTCAGGCTCAAGCCGGGTGTGCACGGTGCGACTTATTCACTTTTTTGAGCCGATTTTCCACTCGTGCGAGAATCCACGACATCGGGGCGAGTTTAGCGCTGAGCGGTCGTGTAGTGTACAGGGGGTTACGAGAGGCGATTAACACCACGTGACCAGCTACCGATCAGCAGTCGTGAGCTCGCACGGACTTCTGGCGTGTTTAATATTTCGCTCGTCCCTCGTGAGGGTATCGCACTGTTGAAGCGGCGCTGCAAGTGGCTGCGACCCAAAAAGTATCGGAACCGCTCACGGCGCATGCGCAATCCTGCATCAACGCTGCTCGCCCGCTATTTCCCTAATAACACACACTGTTCGTTTTTGTTTCTACACATTTTTTTACTCACAAAGATTGTCAAGAAAGCGTGTTTGTCGTGTTCATGTCAAATTAAACTGATCACAAAACACAGATTTACTTTCTTTATTTCGTTTTCCTCATCCAACCCCCATAAATCCCTGTGTGTCCTCCTGCAGCTCTCCCGAAGGACAACAGGCAAAACAAAACCAAAAAGTCTAACGTGTTGAGTAAAAACTGCTATTTTTAGCATATTTTTAGGGCCGACGTGTTGCTACCAGACGTACAGTGTGAGCGCCTGGCTCGTGAGATCTGCTCTGCGAGGAAGTCGTACAGTTTGAGCTGAAGCTGAGTGCTACGAGTGAAATATTGCACAGTGTACGCCCGGCTTCAGGGGGAGAGAGGTCCAGAGTCTGGGGGCCACAGCAGCATCAGAGATTGACCCGTGTGCAGGACGGAGTCTAAAAAGCTGGACTTTCAGAAGATAGAATGATCTTCTGAAAAGGAGGACGTGGAGAAATAAAGCTTAAGGCAACTCTAAATAAGTTTCCTGCTTCTCGCTCTACTGGATGAAAGTGGAATTACAACTGTAGTAAACAACCCTGCTGCAGCTAGTGCTAACAACGAGCTAATGCTAACACAAGCCAACTAATGCTAATAAGCTACAAATGAATAAGATCCGCTTTGTTAAACAGTATAGTCCAGTAGCAACAAAGCCAGGTCACCATCAGCTGCCTTTGGCTCCCTGAAATGGGCGTCGGTCGATGTTCCCTCTGTTAGCTCTTTGCTTCAACTCCAAAGTAACCTGGTTAGTTTTCATGTTGACCCGATTCTGGTGTTTTATGGTTGTTTTTCTCTCCTTTTTCCCATCCATCTCCATAATCACACCATCTTCCCGTCTTTGCCCCCTTTCTGTCTCACTTCTACAGAACTCTTCGGGGATCACCGTCCCAAAGCCTCCCAAACCTCCAGACAAGCCGCTGATGCCATACATGCGGTACAGCCGGAAGGTAAGCAGGAAGGTAAGACACCCATCCACGGTGTCTGCTTTTACTGCTTGTCCTCTCCTCCCCTGAAAGGTCTGCAGGGGTTTGAGGGTGGGAAACAGCCAAGCCATGACGCCTCGCTACCACCTCCACCACCGCGTGGAGCCTGTCCACTCTCCGCTCTGTCAGCTTTACCGCTGATCTAACTCCTCTAGCCACGTGTCTCAGTGTTGTCTGCTATCCTTTCACTCCAACCTGCTTCAGAGCTGTACAGTTACCCCTGAATGCCTCAACAACCTGCTCAGATTGTATGCAGGCATAAGTTTAATAATTACTTCCGTAGAACTTTTGTAAGGAATGAACCTGGATACTAGTTTTCACCTCTTCCCTTCGTGCTTTTCCTCCTTCAACTCCTGCTGTAGCCGTGCTTTCTGATTCCTGAGCCGGTTGATCTGATGGTTGCATGATTGTTTGCGTCTCGTGTGCACACATGGAAGGTTTGGGACCAAGTGAAGGCATCCAACCCAGACCTGAAGCTGTGGGAGATTGGGAAGATTATTGGAGGAATGTGGAGAGACCTGACTGATGAAGAGAAGCAGGACTACCTAAACGAGTACGAGGCTGAGAAGGTACTAGAACGCCCCCCAGCTGGGACTTGGTGGCCACGTTTGAACCTCACTACTGCTCATAATGGTGCTTATCAAACAGCTGCTTCTGTCTCCATCTGCAGATAGAATACAACGACTCTCTGAAGGCCTACCATAACTCACCAGCCTACCTGGCTTATGTCAACGCCAAGAACCGGGCCGAGGCGGCCATGGAGGAGGAGAGCAGGCAGAGGCAGAGTCGTATGGACAAAGGAGAGCCGTACATGAGTATCCAGCCTGCTGAAGACCCCGATGGCAAGTTCCTGATTTAGAGAGGGTGGCGTTAGCGCAGCGTTTTAACCCCGCGTGTGTTTTCACTTCAGACTACGATGATGGCTTCTCAGTAAAACACTCCGCAGCAGCTCGTTTCCAGAGGAACCATCGGCTCATCAGCGACATCCTGAGTGAGTTTGTGGTTCCTGACGTTCGCTCTGTGGTCACCACGGCCCGCATGCAGGTTCTAAAGAGACAGGTCCAGTCTCTCATGGTACACCAGGTAGGTTGGAGGGAACGGCCCCGTTTCACTCTCGTGTCCTCCTGCGACGCGACCGCAGCTCAAAGGTGCGGCGAGCGCAGACGCAGCTAATCAGCTGATGTCTTGGTGGTTTCAGAGGAAGCTGGAGGCAGAGCTTCTGCAGATCGAGGACCGCCATCAAGAGAAGAAGAGACGCTTCCTGGAGACGACGGACTCATTCAACACTGAGCTGAAGCGGGTAGATGTGACATGTTCACCTAAAACGATGTTTTTACCCACAAACACCCATCAGGGGACAATGTCCCAACAGGGACAATGTCCCCCGTGCTGCACACCTTTAACAGTGGGCGCCGCCATGGTGACCTCTGACATTTGTATATTTTACTGCGTCGCTCTTAAGAAAATGATAATGAACCAACTGAGATTATTAGGGATTATCGTGGAAAATTTCAAACATCTGAACTACTCGGGAATGTTAGGACATGAGCTGACCTCGTGTTGAGGTGAGCTTCATCAGCAGTAAGAGCCTGTTGATGGCAGCAGCAGGTTACTGTAGCCAGGCTGTGGGTTCCTGAACAAACAGCATGTTTAACACCCAGCAACGATAATCCAGCTCTGCACGTCTGAGGAGCGTGACCTGTGATTTTTCCCTCCTTCCTGCTCCTTCCTAGCTGTGTAGTCAGAAAATTGAGGTGGACATGGAAAAGCTGGCAGCGGAGATGGCTGCGGCTGAAGAGGCTGCGCGGCGGCGGGCGGAGGAGCGGGAGCATGACGCAGCTGAGCAGGCGGAGAAGGCTGCGCAGCTGCAGGAAGCTGCTGGGAGCAAAGCTGCAGAGCAGAGCAACCCTGCTGCTAGCGGCACCGCTAACGCCACCTCAGGGACCAAAGAGGAGGACAAGCCCACACCGATGGAGACAGGTATGACCTCCAGCCTGAATAAACCAAGCTGACATGAATAGAGAAGGGCGGGGGCTCATGGTGTCCGTCCTGCCCCCACAGATGAAGCAGCAGCTGCAGACACCCTCACCGACCAACAGGCTGCTCCACCTCCAACTGATTCTCCTTCTGGCTCTGACAAAGCTGCTCCTGCCGAGCCCCCCCGGGAGAGCAGCACTCCCGTCAGCAGTGACAACAGCAACAGCATGCCCCCCCCAGTAGACGGCACCCCTGGAGCAGCAGCCGCAGAGCCCCCAGCTAACTCCGGCCCTGCTAGCAGTGGTGCTGCACCGTCAGAGGACCCAAGTCCCCCCCCACCACCATCACTTCTCCTCCCCAGCCAGCAGTATGATATGTGAGGGGGTGGGGGTGCTGCTCGTGCTGACAACGCTTCAGGAAGGTGTCTAGTCCTGATCTTAACTGAGCTGGTCGCTGCTAACAGATGGGCCACACACACACACACACACACACACACACACCTGCTTGTGTTTTAGAATAGTGGATCTTTCTAGAAAGAGGCTTTCCTGTAATCTTGTGTCTGACGTTTTAACCAACCTTCTAGTGCTGAAGGCCCAGGTCTGGGGTCACTTCAGGTCACACTAGTCTAATCTGCATGCTAAACTCAATCCTGACAAACGAAGATGAGACTTCACCTGGTCTCCGTCTACTGGTCATGTTTATGTAGGCGCAAGTAAAGCCTCTACTGAGTCGGCCTGTCTACAGGTCGACTATATTTTTATACCGTTTTTACTTTTACCTGTTCCTGCAGACACCAGGGTCAGAACTCACAGGCCACGCCCCCTCACAGCTTACCTCACTGATGTGTTTAAAGGACTGATTTCTTACTTAAAATGAACTGTTTAGTGAAAATGTCTTTCATTTTTCTTTTCTACTGTCTGATCTTATCTAAATAAAGTCGTATCCTAGTCAGCGGGTGGCTCCATCTGTGTGTGTGTGTGTGTGTGTGTGTGTCTTTGATTCGATATCGATGTATCACGATTGTTTCCTGTTGTCGTGTACGCTGTTGTAGGGTGCAGAACGAGTTCAACTCCTTTATTTAGCTTGCCACATGCTAACCCCTCAGTTGCTCTCCCTAGCTCCCCCGCCTGGCCACTCCTTGTATTACCAGATTATACCACATCCCCCTTTCTGCCAGTTTGTGAAAACAGTGCATTAACAACACCCAACTAAACCATTTCATTTCACATCCAGCTTCTGTACTTGAACACCTGTCTTTTTATTTATTTTAATCAGACCATAACACATCTGCATTACTTGGACCCAAAAAGTCTCACAGGTCCAGTCTCTGTGGCCTTCTGACCTCTCTACCAGACCTAGTTGTCACAAAATCTGGGGTGCTCGTAGTGTCTTTGCTGGCGACCGGGAGTCTTGATCTGAGGGATGTTTTTCCTGGTCGTTGCCCTGATTCTCTGCTGTTGGCATAGACACAAGATGGTTCAAATTTCTCCTCAGCAAGCCCTGTGGTCCCTCAACCAGGTATGATCTTGGGCTTTGATGTTTGGATGTCACAGTTCCCTGTGTCTTTGCAGCCGTGATCCAGACTTCCTCTCCGGGAGCCAATGGCAGGTCTCTTGCCCTGTGTCTGCTGTTGTAGTTATGTATGTCCATCCGTCTCCTCTCTGTGTCTTTCTGTTGGTGAGCCTGCAGGGCGGGTACAGCAGGCTGTAGTCTCTCTGGGAGGATTGGGAGAGTGGTACGAAGATGGCGTCCAATGAGCAGTTGAGCCGGGCTGTAACCATTACTCAGCGGTGTTGCTAGAAGGGCACGGTAAGGGTCCTTGGCCTTCGTGAGCAGTATTTTGACAGACTGGACAGCGCGCTCTGCCTCTGCGTTGCTTTGAGGGTATCTAGGGCTGCTGGTCACACGTTTAAAGCCATATTTAGCAGCAAATTGCGCCATCCATGTCCAGCAAACGAGGCAGTTGTCACTGACCCGAACCTCACAGATTCCACGACGAGCCATCATGGATTTCAGATGAGTGATGACATCTGTGGATCTTGTGGGGTTGAGTTGGGCCATCTCTACAAATCTAGAGAAACGATCTACCACCAGAAGGTATGTTTTCCCCTTCAGGGTGAATAGGTCTGCTCCTAGTTTTTGCCAGGGTCTGTCTGGAAGTGTGCTTGGCAGAAGTGGTTCTCTGGCTTTCGTTCGTTCTTTAATGCACACCCTGCAGTCGGTTACAAATTCACGTATCTGGTCGCTCAGCCCTGGCCACCACACAGTTGGTCTGGCATGTTCCTCACACTTGACCAGCCCCTGATGGCCTTCATGGATCTTGTCTAGAATGTCGTTCCTCATGCAGGCAGGGACAACCAATCTTGGAGCCATCCATTATGTACACTCAGGTGTGCTCTCTCTCGCCAGTAGTGTCTGATCGGGCCTTGTGTGTGATCTCTATCTGGCCAACCTTCTGCGCAGAACCTCATGACTTGAGAACAGATGTCAGCATTCAACTTGTCGAAGTTCCGCCAGATATTTGTCACTCGTGAGGAGGTTTACTGTCTAATCCATGTAGATGTTGGTGTCCTCCATGAGTGTATTGTCCACTTGGGTAGCTTTGTATCTGAGGGGAGCGCAGGAAGGTGTGTCAGCAGTTGTGAGGGTCTTCCCGGGTGCACACACTATTTTGTATGAGTACCTCATTAAGCGCATCCGGAACCTCTGCAGTCTGGGAGGCAGTGCATCCAAGGCCTGTCTCCCACCCCCCCAATAAACTCACTAATGGTTTGTGGTCCGTTTACAGTTCAAACTGTAGGCCCAGGATGAAATCACTGAACCTCTCACAGGCCCATGTTGGCGCCAGTGCCTCTTTTTCTTGTTCCGTGTCTCTTAACGACCTGGAAGCGTAGGCGACCGGGGACCATACCTCATCCTTTTTCTGGAGTATCACCGCCCCAAGTCCATACGATGAAGTGCCAGCTGATATTTTTAGTGCTATGTTTGGATCGTTTAGTTGGAGGACCGGCGTGGTGGAAAGCTCCTTATTGAGACTGCGGGTTCATGACCCCAGCACCACTGGTTCTTTTTGGACAGCAGGTCCCTCAGCGCTTTCTTTTTCAGCCAGGTTGGGCAGGAATTTCCCTAGTTGATTTACCATTCCTAAGAAGCTTCTAAGGTGACTCAGGTTTGAGGGTTCCTCCATTTCCATCACTACTCTTTTTTCCTCTGGATCCGGCCGAATGCCATCTGCTGAAATGACATAGCCCAGAAACTTAATCTCAGTCTTTCCAAACTCACATTTTTCCATATTAAGCATCACCCCTGCTTTATCTGCCCGTTCCAGCACTGCAGGGACCCTGGCGTCATGTTGCTCTTCTGTGGCCCCCCATACCAGAATGTCATCAATGTGGCAGACTACCCCCTCTAGCCCACCCAGGATCTCTGTGACCATCATATTCTGAAAATGCTCAGGGGCAGACGAGATGCCAAAGGGGAGGCGGTTAAAATGATGCCGCCCAAACGGTGTAATGAAGGTGGTGTAAAGCGCAGACTCGCGTGACAGGGGAGTTTGCCAGAACCCTCTATTAGCATCCAGCTTTGTGAAATATAAAGCTCCTGACAGCATGCCCAAGGTCTGCTCTACCGAGGGGAGAATACATTTTTCCCGGCATACTGACTCGTTTAGGGGCGTCATGTCTACGCAGATGTGGACTTCTTCCTTGTCCTTTTTTGGAACCACCATATCGCAGGACCAGTCTGTTGGTTTCTCTATGTGGCTGATGACCCCCATGCGTTCCATTTTACTTAGCTCGTCCCTCACTTTGCTCATTAGTGGGACGCCACGTGGCACTTTGAGGGAGGATGGCTAAGCATCAGGTTTGAGCTTAAAAGTATATGTTCTCTGGACGAGCCCCAGTCCATCACAGAGTTTGGGAAACACTTGTTTAACTGTCTCTCTATTAATCATGTCGACTCTAGCCACCAGCTTAAGGCCCACGGATGCTGGTCTGCTCAACAGAGGCACTTGAAGGTCTCTCACAATAAAGCTTGTCTTCACAATGCTCTTTTCTTTATATGAGAGCTTTTCCGTGACCGCTCCCACAACCATCAGTTTTATTCCCCCAGGACCATAGAGGGACCTGGGGACATCCTCAAGCCTCCCTTCACGGCGTGTGATCTCTTTCTACACCTGTTCTGGGATGGCTGTGACATCAGCCCCCGTATCAATCTTAAAGTGTACTGTGCTCTCTCTTATGTTAATGTCTGCATACATGGACCCGCCCCGGAGGCTGTTTCACCCAGAAACAGTTCGTCGACATCTTCAGTGACCTCATGCACTGACTTTGCTGACCTGCACATCCTCTCAAAGTGACCACGTTTCCCGCAGTTATGACACTCCACTGAATTAGTCGGGCACTGGGACATTGAATGAAAGGGCGTCTGTCCACACCTGCCGCATGATTTGGTTTCTGTAGCACTTCCCCCAGCCTCAGGTTTCTCTGTTGCCCCTGAGAAGACTCCTTGTATTTCTGTTTGAACGGTTTTCCTCCCCTGAATTGCATCGTGTCCACAGCTGCTGCGTTGTCACTCGGCTCTCTCAAGTCTGACTGTTGTCTCTTAATTTCTTCCGACTGTCTAGCCATTGTAATGGCCTTTGCCAGGGTGAGGTCTTTATCAAGTTGCATCTTCTCAGACAATGACGAATCTTTAAGCCCCACCACTAATTTGTCCCTCAGAAGTTCATCATGCAAGTTGCCTTACTCCCAGTTCTCCGCCAGAGCGTACAGCGCCGTAATGAATGCGTCCACGGGTTCCGCCGGCTGCTGGACTCTCTTGTTGAGTTTAGCTCGCTCATATATGACATTTTTCCTCGGGACAAAGAACCTGTTGAATACTAACTTGACCGCGTTGCATCGCTGATGCTGTGCGCCCGTTAGGTCCAGGCTGCGCAGCGCGTTGTCTGCTTCATCGCCCATACAGTAAACCAGAGTGTTCACCTGGTTCGCATCCGTGGACGAGTCCAAGTTGCTGGCCACCCTTAACCGCAAATCTCCTAATCCACCTCTCCCACTCCTGAGGCCTGGAAAAGTCGAAGGGCACGGGCGGTTTGATAGTAAATGTCGCCATTGGGGGTGTTGCCGCCTGTGATGCAGCCGCCACTCTGGGCCAAGGTTGTTCCTGGTCACCTTCCATCCCAGGAATACACAAACTTATCTCTCCGCCAGTTTCTGACACCATGTCGTGTACGCTGTTGTAGGGTGCAGAATGAGAACACTTAGTTGTCGAGTTCAACTCCTTTATTTAGCTTGCCACATGCTAACCCCTCAGTTGCTCTCGCTCTTCCTAGCTGTCCCTGCCTGTCCACACACATGGACTTGTCGTCGATGAACAGAAGATGTCGGATATTTGCTGTTTTTATCAAAACATGTCAGCCACAACATCCCCCCCCCCCCCCCCCCCAAACCAGGAAAATGTAAAAGTGCAAAATATTCCAATATTTAAGAAGACTTAACAAAGTAAAAAATCAGTTTCCTCATTCAACATCTCCGGCTCTGCAGATGCTAACAAAGCCTTAAAGTTCTGAAAACCATTGTGCCCCCAAAAACAGAGAGCCGAGGACATCTAGCGGCAGACAAGGAGAAGATTGAAGAATAAACACAGAAAACCTCTAAAATATGAACGTTTCATTCCCCCATGATTGGAGGCGTGAAAATATGCGCAACTATTTGTGCACGGAAATGACGGGAAACGTGGGTTTGGAGGTGATGAGTGCAGTAAAGCTTGGTTTATGCTTGACGCATTCACTTTCCGCGCGGTGATGCGGCTCGCGGCTGGAACGCGCTTCACAACTCGCAGCGTTTATGGTTTGTGCGGCTCGTCTCTGCGGTGAGCCAATATTCTCCCAAACTGTAGGGGGCAGCATGGAGCTCTACAGCATGCATCCAACACTACACCACAGTAGAAGTAGAAATCACTGTTTACAACATGGTATTTCAGCATTTTTAACAGCGTCCTCGTCTTTTCCGACAGTGCGAGCTATTTCTCTCCAAGAATTATTAACAACATGTTGATCACGGTGATCTCTGAGAGCTGAATCATACAAATGTCTGTATTTACCAACCTCTGCCGTGCCGGTCCGCCATGTTTTTCCGCGTCCGACCGTCCGCGTGGTTAGAAATTTTCCGAGGTGCGCGTTGCGGAAATCTTGGGCCGTGCGGAGACGCGGTGGAGGGGCGTGGTTGTTAAAATGATGCAAAATGACGCTACTTTTCCGCGCGGAGCCGTGCGGACCTCGCGGACGCGTCAAGCATAAACCAACCTTAAGAGGTGGAGGAGGATGAGGAACAAATTTGTTCCTGTTAAAAAGTCTCAGAAATACAAAAAACAATCTAAACACACTTATCTTGGGCCCAATCCCAGTACTCGCACTTGCACCCTTGCGCCCTTCAATTGCGCGTTCCCGGCCAGGGGTGCGAGTGCGTAGGGTGTCCCGATTCTCAAGTGCAGAAGTTGACCACGCCCCATTGCACCCTTAATCTGCACTTCACCCAAATCTGCAGCGATGCGAACCTCGGGCAAGGGCATTACCCACAAGTCATTGCTGCAGGAGAAAAGGCTCAAGTTCCTTTTCTGAAAATATGTATTTTCTAATGAAATTAGTTCATTTTAGGACGATTATTTGATTCTCTGAATGTTTTAGACAAAGCAGCAATGAAGTTAAATTTATTTCCAATAACTGTTTTGTTGTTTGTTTGAACGTTGTTAATAAAGGTTTCTGAAAAAAGTTTCACAGCGGCCAGAATCCCGACATGCGTTGCGATCGATGACGCAATGCTCCCTGTCCCAATTCTGCAATTATTTGCACACTTGTGTACTACGCACTCAAACCCTACTGTGCACTCTTTCCAAGTGCTCTTTGCTGAAGACCGCAGGGCGCTGCGCGAGTATTGGGATTGGGCCTTTAGACCGCATGCATGACAGGATACCACAGAACAGCGATACGCCCTCTAGCGTCTGGCGGGGAATTGCTTTGCAACACTCCCCAGGAGAGTCTGAGGGGAAAACGTCTCCGTGTGTGCTTGTCTCCCTTGTATTTTTATTTTTTTTTAAGTTATACACAAATACACATATATGAGCTTTGGTAACAGTTACAATGTGAATCTTACATCTAGAAGAATGCCTAGGAGGAAAAAGAGGATGGAAAAAAAGAAGACAGAAAGATAATTAAAAAAAAGAATAATAATCCTACCCTCACCTTTGGTCATGAGCTTTGGGTGGTGACCAAAAGAACGAGATGGCGGATACAAGCGGGTGACATGAGTTTTCTCTGAAGAGTGGCTGGGCTCTCCCTTAGAGATAGGGTAAGAAGCTCCGTCATCTGGGAGGGGCTGGGAGTAGACCCGCTGTTCCACATCGAGATAAGCCAGTTGAGGTGGCTCGGGCATCTGGTCAGGATGCTTCCTGGATGCCTCCCTGGTGAGGTTTTCCGGGCACATCCAACCGGGAGGAGGCCTAAAGGAAGACCCAGGACACGTTGGAGGGACTATGTCTCTCACCTGGCCAGGGAACGCTTTGGGATTCCCCCGGAGGAGCTGGCCCAAGTGGCTGGGGAGAGGGAAGTCTGGGCCTCTCGACTTAGGCTACTGCCCCCGCGACCCGACTCTGGATAATGGAATAACAAAAAATAAAATAAAATCATAATAATAATGCTAGATCATAATAGGGGTATTAGTATTCAAATGAAAACATTAAAAAGTTTACATATTTCAATAGTTTTAAGAGCCTTCTGTCTTTTAGAATTATTAATAGAAAATATGTATCGTTTGAAAGTATTAAAGTATGCTGCAAAGCATGTTTTTTACCTGAATATTTACAACATTGGACATAAAACTTCACCATCAAAATGAAGAGGTCAGTCATGTATAGAGTTTTTGTTCAAACCAGTTTCAAAAAGACCAAACAGCACATTCTCCAACATAAAACAACATTAGTAACAATATGGACATGAATAAAATCACAAAGTTCCTGCCAAAAGGTTTGAACTGCCAGGCAGTGCCAAAATTAATGAATAGCAGTTTCAGGACATGCATTGCAGAAGCTACAGTTCAAGTCAATATCTTTCTTGAATCTATATTCAATATAAGATTTAACTGGATGGAATCTATGACAAAGTTTAAAGGATATTTATTTTACTTTGTTATTAATCATATATCTATTAGGTAGTGGCCAGACCTTTTTCCACGGAATCATTCACATATATATTCCAGTGAGATGAGGCACGGGGTAACGTTGCAATATTTCCCTGGAACAACGCTCGGATAGATCTGTTGTTATTGGCAGGAAAACTGGAGAAACTAATTTTCCCTACAGGTGTGTCACTTGGGAATAACAAAGTTCACCAGCATCAACTCTCTGTTGATCTTTAAACAGCACACACACACCAGATGGGATGGCACCAAACACTGATGCATAATCTCCAGGACTTATGTAATATTTCCTAAGAAACTCTTCATATGTAAATAGAAGTCCGTCAGGATTAAACAGCTGATCTACCCATTTAATGTTGTGTTGAAACCAATATTCTAAAAAAAATAGTTTTGTGTTTATACAAGATGTCTTTGTTGTTCCAGATGAAGTAGTTGTGTGGTGAGAAGTTGTGTTTGTAAATGAGAGACCATGAAAGAAAGGCCTGGCGGTGAAAGGCGGACATTTTTGCAGGATCTTATCAGTGTTATAATTACAGATTAGAAAGAAGTCAATCCCACCCAATATTGAAAGAACATAAAATGGAATAATATTCCATCATGGGTCAGCCCTAACCCTAACCAATGATGAGGCTGTAAGTGGTGAAGGGTGGCAGATCTGCAGGAAGGGGTGTGTGTGTGTGTGGTCCTGTCTCAGAAACAACTGAGTTCAGCCACAACCATAGGCGTCATTTTAACCGGGGACGCCAGGGACATGTCCCCGGCAAAATTTGTGATTGGCAGCTGTGCCCCCCCCCCCCCCCCCCCCACACACACACACTTTCAAAAACGCCTGCTGATGAGGATTTTTGTTTTACCAGCTCAGATCTTATCCAGGGGTCGGCAACCTATTCCCATCAAAGAGCCATTATTACCCGTTTCCCACAGTAATTTTGGACGGACCTTAATAAGCAGTGACTTAAGTGAAGCAGGCAGGTCGCGCTAGAAAATTTCGTTTAAAAAGACGTCATAAATGTGTTCCCCCGTCCTTTTTATTTATAAAATATGAAGTAAAAACTCAAAATTTAATTTTCATTCATTTGTCATTAATATTTAGTCTACACCCGTGCGTTAAGTGGACCATCTTCCAGTAAAAGCAAAGCATCCAGCCCACCTCTCCAAATGCATAAAATGTGCATCAGCCGCTAGTTAGGCGCACCGCGCGCACCGTCAGCTACGTCAGCCCAGACAAGAACAGAGCAAATAGAGAAAGAATAAAGGATAATTGTGTCTGGATGTGGATGGAGATTACATTTTACAGCAGCCTGATCATCATTTAAATACATAAACCATCACCTGTCTTCTAGTCCATGCTATCAGCATATATTTTATTTGGTGTGTGTGTGTGTGTGTGTGTGTGTGTGTGTGTTTTCCACTTCAAACACTGGTCTAACCAACCAGACCAGCGTGTCCAGTAACACATTAATGTTACAATTAAACAGTTTCCCTTCATGTAGGCTAGGAACGTTTCACCTGCCGTGGCCCGACTGCTTCTGCTCCACATGAACTTTGTGCGTGATCAAATGTCTCTACGCGTCATGCATCTCCATATTAGAGACGGGAACAAGCGCTGTTCAGCCAGTTTCATAATTTCATAAAAAGAACATTTTTCCAAGTGACACATCCCTCAGAGAGGCCGCGTTTCCAGACTGTTTCAGTGGGAGGAAATCATTGCATGCACCGGGGTTCTGCGCTGCGCTGCGAACCCCTCAGATCTTCAGCCCACTGTCCACCGTGGGCGCTCCAAGCCACGCTGGACACAGTGTCCAGTATAAAGCTCTGATGTTCTGATGGGAATATTTTACCTCCGCGATGTGCGTTAACGATTAAAATGTCAGCTCATCCATGCGCATCAGTGTGCGTCTGGGTAATTCTTTCAAACCAAGCAACATCCTTGAGTTCATCTGTCAAAATAAACAGTCAAATGGAAATATCTGTAACCTGCCGTTTAACTGTTTTGCCTTCTTGTGAAGATTGTTGCAAAGAGAAACAATTAAACTTGATTAACCCCAGAGCCACCCAGAGAACCAGAGCGCATGTGGTTCCTCCCACTGAAGCGAGTGTTTTCCAAACCCGGTCGCTCAGAGAGACTTGTCACTTAGAAAATGTTCCCTGATGATGAAACTTTGGCTGAATAGTGCTTGTTCCTGGCTCCAATGTGGCGACACATCCAGGAGCCGTCTGAGGAGAATCCCAGAATCTCACATCCTCTTCAGCTCATAAAGTGCCCATATGATTACGCACAAGCGTGACGCGTCAACCACCGCAGACCGGGTTGGACCTGTTCAGGTTTACGCAGACAATCTTTACATTTAGAATTGACTTACAGATGTAAAATTAACGCAGTAAAATATAAAGCATTTTATTTAAATATCCATTCATTATTTTACAAGCACAGAGAGCCGCATCAGATGGATGGAAGAGCCGCATGCGGCTCCAGAGCCGCGGATTGCCGACCCCTGTGCTAGCCTACTTTATTGTCCCCAGCAATTTTTAAACCCCA